TTTGAAAATCTGAATTCACTGACGTGGAGGTCTTTTCTGCGCAAAGACTAGCATCAGCCAAGGCCACTCCGCCCTTAAACAATACCTTAACAATGCCTACAAACTGCTTAGATAATTACTGAATTGGTTTGAATACAAAGGTATTTTCTTACGGAACAGTAATTCCAGTCCCTATTAATAACAATTAATGCAATTATGCAAATCAAATTTAACTTGGGTAAAAACTTGCACATTTATATTCCAACATTATTTTATTACAAGGGTACTGCAGACCATCATGCAAAACATTTCAGTACAAACGTATTCAAACCAATAGAGCAATAACATTGGCAGGATGTACTGCATCAAGCATCATATTTAATAAAAGTTGATCTATAATACTAGGAATAATATTTTTCTTCTCTCCCAAACACTTATGAAGATCAATAAAAAAGTGATTGTGACTAGCATTGGAAACCAAAGAAAACACTCATGTGAAATGGTATCCCTTAAAAATACAAGAATCAACTTGGACAAGTTAGATCCAATTTAATAAACAAAACAAATATTTTCATTTATATCATTGTGTTAATAGACTCTAAAAATGAAGATAACTATAAAATTGTGTTCAATTTCTTTGAACGCTGCCTTAGAAAATATATTATTGACTCATTTTTATTTATCAGATACCCACAAATGCTTCTGCATATGAATACAGTGTTTGACAGTTGTCTGCATTGTTTGCAAACTATTTTGGACTCCAATTGTCATGTAGGTACTGTAAGGAAACTCCATTCCAAATGCATTACATCCATGCATTCATTAGTACACAACTTCACATTTTTCTCACATCATCCTCTCTGGGAGAATTAATTGTGGGCAGCTCGCTTTCCACTCATGTACCCTATCCATCGTTCAGCAGTTGCGGCTAATAAAGGATCATTGTCAATTGTGGAAAGCAATAGCAACTGATTGACATGTGTTGCATGATAATCCCAACGAGCTAAATTGGGAGCGGCCCCTAAAGTAAAATGCCGCAAATCATAGACCGTTCCTGATCCTGTATCATACAGCAGCAGTAGCACCTGAAACATCAAAAAGTCTTTCAATTACACAGATCAACATGGATTTTCCTTTTTTGATTTTGACATGGGTTTTATGCATACGTTGGTCTGCTGAATCCAAAAGTGCCCTTAGTTGTCTACCAATTTTTAATGAATTCAGTAATTGTATCTTCAGTAAATATACTTTGTTATATTTGTGGACGTTTTACAATTGCAAAAAAGGCAGAACATAACCTCATTTGTTTAAAGAGTTTTTAAATGCTTCTTTTCTAATAAAGCTGGAGTATCGAGATAAACTGTGAGCCCATCATTAATTCTGCGGTATGTGGAGTAGCAGTGTAAAGAAACTGGTCAAAGGGAAAGAGGAATGCATTGAGTTTCGGAGTTCCTGTGGTAAGGCATGAGCCACAGAATTATCTAGATGATTGTTATTCTTGTATTGCAAAGTAAAAATATTCAATACAAAGATCAAACCAGAAACGGTTTATCCTGATTTGGAGTCTGCTAGAAGAGCTGTACCATGTCACTGATGTGTCTATACTGGATCCTTCTTGAACCCGAAGACGCTCAATTCTGATTTAAGTTCAATGCCAGTCCAGTTAGCTAAAGAATCTGACTACACAAGCACAGAAAGACAAAAACTAACCTTTCACACAAAATGAATTTAATGATTTGATCACATAATTAAAACTCTCAAAGATTGTTTCTGAAATTCTCGCTTCACGACTGAAAGAAAAAATATGCCAGCTCCAGGAACATATGTTACAGTTTACAGGCACAGGAGAGAGAAGTTTTTATTCAGCAAGACTCTTCAGCACATTGCACTCGCGTTTCAAACCTCAAAATACATTAGGAGCAGAATATAAAACAGATTAATGAAGGCTTTTCATTGATTCAATCAAAAGATGTTTAAAATGTGAGTTGTTACAGGACAGTAACAGTCTATCAATAGACCCAGTCACACATTTCACCCTCTTAAGGAGTCATGGCAGTCTTGAACTTCTACCTCAAAAAGTAAATTTTAAGGAACATCAACGAATGATCTGTGGTGATATGAAAGTTTTGTGCATGAAGTTAGTGCATCAGGGTTATACCAAGTACACAAGTCACATTCGTGAATGGGATAGTTGCGACAGAAAGAATTATTGGACGTGAGAATAGCCTAGAAGAAATACACTGAAACCGGGTCCCAAGAATATTATAAAAACTGTTTAGTAGATCCTGACAAAGTTTTGTTATCTCTAATTCTATATTAAATTGGGATTAATGAAGCAATTTACTAAGGCATTGGATAAAAACAGAAGTTGTTTTAAGTAACCAACCAACAAGTTTCATACGCTCTCAGGAGAAAAAGTAAACAACAGTATCTCTCTAGGGCCACAGATTAGGAAACTTAACTAATGATGAAGATTTTGAAGCATGAATGACACCTTCAGAAAGTGAAGCTTGGATTAGATTCAAAGAAGTAGATGTGGAATTTTGTTAGAAGAAGTTGTTGTAACATTTCGATGATCCAAACTATGAGCATTGTATAAATAATGTTGCAATAATATGGTGCCTTAGGATACAGCACGAGTCAGAATGTGCACTTCCTTGACTCACATTTAGACTGCTTCCCTGAAAACCTGGGAGCAGTGAGTGAACAAAAGGTGAGATCATTCACCAAGATATTAAGAATATTGAAAGAAAGAACCTAGGGCAATGGAATACCTAATGTTGATTACCGCAACACAATGACCCTGCTAGAGTGCGTAGAAGAGTAAGTGGCACAAGAATCTTTTTAACTAAGCGACAATGGTTTCATTGACTGCTCAAAATCATGAAATTATGCACATTTTCTTTGAAATTTATTGGTTACAATACGTCTTTACTTAATGTTTTTAATTTTCATTTTCTTAACTCTGTCATAAAGAAACAAAATAATGAAAACTGTATTTTATTACTTTTTATTTTGTTGTTCAAAAGGCATTTGCAGATTTTCATGTCAAAGAATATAAAGATTTTTCAAAGACCTGATGTGATACACGAAAACGGAAGTGATGTCTGCAATCCTTGCACTTTAAATATATAAAAAGTTATTGGTTCTGAAACAGGTGTAGACCTATGTTATTGTTTCATGTTCTTCCTTCCTTCCTCTTTATCCCTCCCGTTTTCCTAAGCTAAATTATAATGGTGGGTGACAAAATAGTTTATATCAGCTGCCTTGATTGTGAGGATTGGTCTTTCCTGTAAGTTATGTGTGAGTTAAAAGAGAAGTCTTCATCTTAATCACAAATGCTTTTCATCCACATACCTTTGGTATTAATGCATTGTTTTGATTTAATTTTGGAGTTGATTCAGCTCTTGAAGAGACTCAATCATAATAAAAATCGATCTTAAAATTCTGAATATCTCAATGAAACAACTAAAATGTTGACAAAGCAGTGATCAGCAAAATGGTAAGTTTCCAGCTCTCTTAAACAGCTGAGATCTTGAGGCAATGATCAGAACATAACATTTTGTCATTGTCAAAAGAAATAAGCAGCACACCTTTTTTCAAGCGTGGTTAAAATATGAACTACATGATTGTGTAACACTATCATCAAGCAAGGAAAATTTATTAACGAATCACCTTAACGTGTTCAAGTATTTTCAGTTTTGAAAGTTTACATCAAGAAGAAATACAGCATAATTTAAGAGAATAACTAAGCATACTTAGATATAAGAAATCTTTCGGAATGCAAATAAATGAAGAGTACAAAAAACACAACTGAAAGCTCAAAGAATAAAATTAGAACAATCTCATCAATGAAAACATGTTTTTCAACAACCTTTCAACAGTCCGTGTTTGAAACACTTCATGCAATGACCTTGTAGCAAATGTGAAGTTATTAGTAGATGCAAAAAACAGCATACAGATGTTTTATTTTTTTTTTCTGTAGGCTACATTCTCCACTCACTCCATTTCTCTTATATTTTATTTAAGTACACACAGTACAAAGGAGGTAGATAATTCTAATGATGTCCATGATTATGGAGATCAAAAAGCATACACCAATATTGTCAATACAATATTACATACTTAAACATCAATAAATATAAAAATAGAACATCAAGAGCATAATATGAAACTATGAGAGCATAGAATTGTGCATCCTGAGTCAATATCTACTTGGCTGTCCGGAAGACACCACGTCCTACCACAGGTTACAAAACGTTGGCACCTGTGACTAGGATGTGACGTCTCCCGGACAGCCAAGTAGATAACACGAAACTGTAAGAATAAGTATACCTAATAAAATAAAATAAAACAACCATAACAGTGATGGTATCATAAATAACATAGGTTGTGTTAACGTGTGTTTTCTTGCATACCACCATAGTTCCTTTAGAATCAATCATATAAAATTTAAGATTAAAATTGAAAAATAGATATATTAGAAGTAGAAAAATTGTATTTACAGTGAAAATCTATTTTTTTCTTTTTGAAATACTTGTTCACAAAATCTGAATGTAAATACTGAGTTATTTAATATTTTTTTAAATTTTACATTATGACAATATTTATGATAAGAGAAGGAATGTCTTGTTTGAAGAAATTGTGGAAGACGAATGACTATAATTATTATTAATATTATTATTTGGCAATCCCCTTATTTGCAATATCAACCAATTAAATTACAAACAGAGAGCAATTGAGTACGAGCAATATAACTTAGTTAAAACTTTGCTTGTACCACATCATTAGGTAAGACGTTTCATCAGTGAACCAGTCTGTGGAAGATGAAATATTGCAGAAAATAAAATGTTAGTTGTAAATAATATAAATCGAAAATTAACAAATGTTTATTGCACATTATTCACATTTAACATCTACAGATTTCAAAAGTAAGGTTCTCAAGTAAAGGAGAAGATTATATGGATATTCAATATACACAACCCAAATTCAAATTTCATAGATCACAGTGCATTCAACTATTAAGTGATAAATCTAAAATCTACCTCCTTGTGTTTCCTCACCTTCAGAGAAACCATTCCTTGTTCAAAAAGAGCAGCCGCTTCTTGGGCTTGGTCTGGAGGGGCAATAGTTTTGAGGTCATACAACCCCAAAAGGGAATATATAAAGCCATTCAAAACAAAAGATGCTGGGCGGGTGGGGTATTCCTCATACCATGGGAATTTACCAAGGAAAGTGGCCAGCACCCCACCGTCCGCACTTGCAACTCGAAAGGGCCTCAGGCCTGCTAAGGCAGCCCGTAAATATTGTGCATCACCTCCTGAATGATGGTATGCTCGGGCCAAAACAGAAATAGCATGGCCCTGACCCATTGCAGAATACCTGTGAAGCACAAATTGTTTATTTCTTTTTGGACCAAGTATCAAGTGTTAAAATGTTCTAAAATGAAATAACGTATTTGTAAAGACTCTTTTCTCATTAACTAAACATCTTAACTCTGGAAAATATGTCAATTCTTCTCAACAGCCTTGAATTCAATGTAAAATTATAGAAGAAATTGCAAGAATGCAAACAAAAGAACATTTTATAACTCCAGAATATTCAATAATTATTCTAAACATTAATCTTTATAATCAATAAAAAATTTGCTATCAACAGTTCAAATTATTGCTCAAACAGTATATGAAACTTCTGAATTACTGATGAAAAATGTGTATCCTATTCCTGGTAATTCTGCAGTTTTATGTAATGAATTTCATTTTGTCTGCCTTAATGCACCCAATTGCCCAACAGCAAGTGCATACAAGGCGGCATAAATTCTTCTGTTCAAAAATTTATTTTTCCATCAACACACATATTTGTCAACTCTTTAAGACATAAGATAAATGATGTGATAAAAAAAATTATTCTTTGATTTGAAGATGTCATGAAATTATCAACATTATAACCATTTACTGCAGGATGAAAGCATGTTTCCTGCTAAGCAGTGTGGCTGAAACAGGTAATTAATTCTCTAAGAGTTCCTGTGCGATCCATTTCCTTTTTGGTATATCATGAAATTGAAATCTAATTCGTTAGTTTTTATCCACTAAGTTACACTGAGTTAACAGAGGAGCAATGTTAAATTTATCATTTTCAGTTTTTATTCAGGTATTTGAAGAGAACAAAAATCTTCTTCCCTATGTTTCACTTAATTCATAAAATTTGATGATTATAATAAAAACCAGTGGTGCTGCAAATTGGCAGAGATCAATCATTTTTCAATCTCTTAAGTTCCCCTTTCTTTTGAGATAGGGTTACCTTTTCAGTTTTGCTTCACTGCCTTTCTGGCTGCCATCAATTGGCCCCTTACGAATTTACTACAGCCTCCTGCAGTAACTATCACACCCCTGAGCACCGCTCCTAGTGAAGGTCTTCCCTATACTCCCCAGACATCATAGCAATGTAGTCCTTGGACTCATTTCAAATATGCATGTGCGCAGGTGTGCGTGAGTGTAACCATAGAAGTGGACACATGTGACTTGGTGTGTGCTAAGTGTTTTGTGCATAATGAGCTGTAATCTGGCCATAATGGAGGGAACACCTGTATGCCAATTGCTTAGCATGTATATTGTTACATAATTCCATAGTCCATTGTTCTGATTGTGCATCTCCAGTTCCTCAATTGTACACAGATTTCCCACATATTGATCAGTCAAGACAGGGGATTATGGAAGGTTTAGGGTATAGAAGTGGTTCACGAGGGACCACAATGCCACCCACAACTTAAAAAACATCCAGCCCTTAAACAGTTTTAGAACCCACAAACTTGGGTGCACTGGCTCCAAGCCTTCGTTGCCATGAGGCTGCCTTCACAATACTATTTACAACATTTAAGTAAAAAATAACTATTAAAAATAATATTTATAAGTGAGATTGACCTTTTTGACATACATCGTCAATTATGTGTTTTGCACACTCAATCTATTTACCTCCATGACAATCAACATCATTCCTTGCTATAGCAACAATATCCATTGGGGGCAATTGCCTACTTTATGCCCTCCCCACATCCTTCTACCGCCTGCATTATTAATATTACAGAAATTGCTTTTTATCATAGCGCATGAATATTTTTCAAATTTTCTCAATATTGCAGTCTCATTATAGTGTATGTGAATTAAGACTTTGAGAATATCATAAATGTGCAATACCAATTATCATATGAATATTTTGAGGGAAAAATTTTGTAAGTTGTTTTTAAGAAAATTACTTTTGAGATAATTTTGATTTAAATATTGTGCACTCTGATTATCTTTAAATCCTCTGTATTGTCTTTGCAAAAGTTAAAATTTTTCTCGCACTACTCTTCTACTTCTTTGTTGGTAGAACCTGTTATTCTTCAGACTTCTTCATGAAGACATGTAGATGCCCAGCTTTCGATCTATCTTTTCTTTGGCCTTCCTGGATCCTGCTTACTTAATGGTCTTGAATATCTTGCTACTTTGATCACTCTAATATTATCTGCCCTCAAAATGTGTTCTTCTCAGCCTTTTCTTCTCGATGTTATAAATTTAACTATGTCTGTCATTCCACACTCATTCCTTATATCTTGATTATTTTTTTATCCCATCTTGTTTTTCCGGTTATTGCTGTTAAAATACTCATACCTGAAGTTCTTAGAAGAGTTTTCATTCTAGTTCTGCTCCATAAGTCATAACTGAGCTTACTATGGTTTTGTATAATTTTACTTTACTTTCTATATTAAGATACTTATTTCCCCAGGCTATAACTTTTGGATATCCTGATATTCTAGCTCCTTTAATTACTTGGTGTTGAACTTCAATACTGTCCCTCCTACTTGAAATTTCCACTCCTAAATATGTGGCTTTAGATTATTTTATGATCCACCATCAATTTACACCTTACTGGATCCTTTGAAATTACCATTGACTTTATTTTCTCAGTTTATATAATCATGTGGTATTGTTCTGCAGTTTTCAATAGTATGCGCAGAAGTCTTTGTACATAGTCTTCTGAATTTGTGAACAGTACTGCATCATCTGCATAGAACACTATTGGGATTCTTTTACTTCTCAATTCATATCCTGGCATTTCTTGTACTCCTACAAATCAATTACAGGAGATAAGAAATCTTTTACTGAATTAAATCTGTTTCTTAAATTAGATCTTTAAATAATGTGGGCAATCTTTTGAAATATGAGTAGTTTTCATATTATTTTGAGTGAACTCATGACAAAAAATAAAAATAATAAAATAAAATAACAAACTATTTTCTCAAAAAAACTTCATATATTTTCTTTTAACTTTATGCTTGTATAAGGCAGTTTCTATAGTAATAAAACATATGTCTGATATTCTTTAAAATTTCAAAAATTGCAAAAGATCAGTTTTTTTGTTTTTGTTTGTTTTTTTAAATTGGTTTTATGCCTTCAATATTGAAACTCGTGACCATTCTCAATGTAGTCTATTTCTTAATATTAAATCTTTAAATCATTTCATAGAAATTGTTTTCATGTAATTTTGAGTTAGAATATGCAAGAATCACAACATCGTGAATTTTGGACACAGGACAATAAACAGACTTTCATATTATCAAACTGGTGCTGCAGCTCAAATATAAAAAATATGAAATTTTCATCCACATGCTTCAGTTTGAATCCCAGCCTCATTAAATATTTTCTTCAAACATTTTTTTGTATAAAGTAAAATAAAGTCAATTCAATGGCAGAAAGCCATTTTCATCTTAACTTTTGAAATTTCAAGAAAATAAAGATATGCATTTCTTTTCTAACCCCTAGCCCTCAGTGTAATTAAGAGATTTTCATGTCATAGCTAGAGAGTAGATCACATGTTGAAATTTTACAATATTACATAACTTAACAGCAGGGCTCCGATTCTGATTACATGTCTTTTCATCGGTGCATTCTAGACATTGCTAACTTGTGAATGAATGTTTATCATGACATTTCGGAGATAGAAATTGGGTCATTTTTGTCACTTTTCATTTTTATTAAAAAGACCTTTGCATTCTTTTTTGGTCATTTTTATGCATTTAGTTTCATTTTTTTTTTTGTTGGTGAATCTTTAATGAATTTATAATGGCATACTAAAATATAGTTTTTATTGTATTATCAGTTCTTGATGAAATTACTATGGCAGGGGACTCTCAAAATTACACGAATCTCTGGTAACTTCCTTGAACTTTCAAAACTGATGATTGGAAGATCGAAGCTAAGGATTACATTTCTTCATAAAATAAAGACTTTATATTAAATATAATTTTATATAAATACACTATTTAAAATTGTAAAATTAACTGAATAAATAAACATTTTCATACAAATTTTTGAGTATTTTACAACAAATTATGGCATTTCCCCCTTATTTTTAAGTCCTTTTGTACTCACTTTCAATGCATTTTTTTAGGTTATAAGTAATATGAGAAATATGTGCCACTGTAGGTGGTAGGTGGTAGGTGGCGGTGGCGGTCACGGTTTACTTATACTGCTTATTCACAAGCAATGTTTACAAGAATTAAAAAACAGAAAACTAGATACAGAAATACTATAATACTATGCCACTAGGGGGGAGGAGGAGCACAATTATTTTAGATTGCATGACTCTCAATCACAACCCTATAATTCTCACCATCCTGGTTCCAGATCAGCCATTCCAGTTGCCACCCGCCGTCGCACTGGATTAGGCCACCCGCCAGTATCTGGATCCTGATGCTTCACAAACCAGTGTGCAGCATCATAAAAGTGAGCCAAGTGTTCTGATGAGCTCAAGGTCAGATTATCCAGGTAACCTTGACCACGGAATGTAAGGCCAACCACTTTTAGCTTTGATCGAGACAATTTCCGCTTTGCCCTTCCTTCGTAAGCTAAACCTTTCTGCAAATCTACAATTAAGTCTCTTGTCATACGGCGCCAGCCTGTAACATGGCCTATTCCATGGTAAATGTGCTGGTCCTAGAAAGGATGAAAAAGATATTGTATTTCTGAACCTACATAATTCAATACATAAAGCTTGAGAATATATGCCTAAGGTCACAAAATCAGGATCTGAAGAAACACTTTCAGGAAGATAAATTGTAAAACTGAAACCATTCTGTTTTGGGCAATAACTTCATTCTCTAAAGGCAGTATTTCATGTGGAATTGGAAACAAATGTTCATGATGAAAAATTGTTAATTGTAAATGGATGATGTGTTTTTAATGTTTCTTGTGGTAAGACTTTAGACACTATTACATTTTAAATTTGATAAACACTTATATATAAGTTTGTCACTGAATATGCAGAAACAATACCTCTGGACACTCAGGGTAGTTACTGTAACAAGTTTTGTCATTCTAATAAATGAATATAAAGGGAGTGATTTTACTTGTGAAATGTAGAAATAAGTTATAGATTTTGTTTCTGGATGAAAATATTATGTACTCTTTAATTGAGTCTAATTACGAGTTGATAGCACACAGGGGTTTCTTGGCTTCTTTTTGTATTTAATCAAGACCAAATATTTCTGTTATTTTATTAAAACTATAGGTAACATAATGTATATCCGAGTATAAACAGAAATTTTGACATTTATTGTTTGATTCCAACATATTGTACATGAATTAAAAATATATGCCATAAACCAAAAATATTCATACCTGTGCAGAAATTAGGAGATCTGAGCATATGTAATGCAAATAAAACAATTCACGTTTTTCACGACTCTGCAAAGTGATGCTGAAGCTTCCATTACCAACAAGACGTAAATTCAAACTCAATATAAAATCTAAGACGTGGTCAAGTTTTAAAGTAACTCCCCCAGTCAGCATTTCTGCAATAACAAATAATACAGTTTTAATCGATCATAAATCACAAATAATTTAATTAAAACATTTCTACTTCAGTGGGCACTACTATTTTTTATTCTCGCACTCTTGCAAATCCCTTGCCATGTGCTCTCTCCCTAACAGGGCTGAGGAAAAGAGGGCCACTGGCTTGCTGCCTACAACAACCATGCCCCACCACTCCATCCACCTCACCTTTGGCCTTGGAAAAGGCATTACCCAATACAATGAAATACCACATTGTTTCCGATTTTGGATGTTAACTTAAGCATTGGTGATTATAGCTCTATTGCAGAATTTTGCTTGTGTGGTTAGATTTAGAATCAAGTAAACATGTTGTGGCCACTGAAGCCAAGTGTCAGTTGAGCACATCTCTGACTACAAACCACAGTTTCCGGGAATTATGTTTGTGATGAATCCGTTTTATTTTTTGACTTCTCATGAGGAGTAACACATTTATTTCCTTTTTTATTAGTTTACCTCAGTAATGTCAATATTACAAAAAACAAACAAACAAACAAAACAAAACCAGACCCACAAAACACACACACAACAGCATGATATGCACTTCTTTTGGAAACAGATTTTCCACATATTTTCAGAGATGCTCAAATAGTGAGGAAAAATTGAGATTTTTCTTATGTTTGAAAGGCTGATTATTATCACATTTCTACCAGGATTGGATTCAGGGACCAAAACTCTGGTTATAATGGGAGCAAAAATGTAGACAGCTTTTCTGCACACCAATGCTGGACTGACAAATTTCCAAAGACTCCTAATTGAGACTTTTTTTGGATGATGAAGACAATACTGCTGTGTCTTAACTTGATAAAGCTCCTGTGCTTTCCATGTGGGAAAAAAGGGCTTTAAACTGCAAACCAATCAGCAAGAAAGGCTCATCTGCGAATTGTAAAAAGATGTTGAAAATCTCTTCTGCTGATGGTTTTTCAAAAGACATCTTGTTTACTTTTCCGCTGTTATTCCTATGTTATGACAATATTGTAGATAGTTAAAAACTGAGAAATGAGACTGCTTATATTTTGTCCATAGAGATGCTAGGTTTATTACAAATATGACTACCAAAAATATGGAAACAGATTTGAGGAATTTATTAGATTCAAATGTAGCATTTCCCAATCTTGTTCAGATTACCAAAAATCAAACAAATTGTTGCAAATCTGTAATTTCAATTTAACTTCTCATTGTTGCAGGCAAGTAAAGATTTTCAACATCATCTTCCCTTTCAGTTAAATTAATGGGCAAAGGCAGATTGATACATTAGCTTTGAAATGTGGGGAGTCAGTAGAGGTCATGACAAGGAAATGGTTTGCTCTATGGAAGGAAAGACATTTTGACCTGAGTTACTCTTCATGTTCAGGAAGACTTTCAATCTTTGACAAATATCATCAATCTACAGTATTCCACATCAGTGTACATGAGAATTGGCAAATATGATGAACGATAACATTTCATTATTGTGTAACGTTTGCATTCAATTAAAAGGTGAAATAATCAAGTGAATGGGCTACTGGATACTCTAAGCCAAAACCACAAAAATCTCCAAGTGCTAAAATGTATATGTTAGCTAACTATATATATTTCATTCTGCATCCATGTCTCTGCCAAAGTGTCGTTTAATTGTTCTACAAATTCTGTTGTGTTTATACATTTTATTTTCTACATCCTCGTGGGTTTGATTAAATACACTTATGATATTTCCAAGATGTGAAAATGTTTTGACTTGTTCCAATATTTCTCCATTTCTCACAATTTTGGCTTTCTTCTGTTTTTTGCCTTGCAATGCCATAACTTTTGTTTTTTAAACTGATATTTTCATAAAATATTTCTGGGCCTCTTTTGTCAGTTCAAAAACTGCTCTTTGTAGATCATCTTCAGAATTTGTTATGATTGTTTGATCATCAGTGTATAAGATTGTACCTGTTTTTTCTGATTTGGATACCCTGTTTAATTTTATTCCTCCAGTGTCTCGCTAAGTAAGTGTAGGTGACAGACCACGTCCCTGTCTTAGTCTACTGGTTATTATTGTTACAGACTTTCTCAAGTAAATATTATTTTAATGTTGGAGTTTTCATATAAACTCTGGATCGCTTTGAATAACTGATTTTGAATTTTCTCCTCTTTCAGTACTTCCCAGAGTTTCTGTCAGTTAACTCTGTCATAAGCCTTTTCATAATCTATGACTATTATAAAAAATGGCAAGTTTGCTTATTATCATCTGTAATGTTAAGATGGCATCTTTAGTACTTCTTCCCTTTCAGAACCCGCACTGTTCCATGAAATTCTCAGCTATTACATTGAATCTGTTTCTCAACACATATACACACACACACATATTCATGGTCAAACCCTCTTGCTGTTCTATTGATATTTTCCTCTCTTGCCATGTTTTGTTAAAAACTTCTAGTAATATTTCTTTTAGCTCATTTCCTCCATGTTTTATGAGTTCTAGGTTGATTTCATCTGATCCGAGGCTTTTCCTATTTTTTGATTTCTTTTAATTATTATTATTTAAGGTAAAAATACATTCATTAAAAAATGTAATTTTCAATGTGAAAGAAAAGAAAATTTAAACATTCAATCACAAGTAAAAAAAAAAAAAAATTATTTTAAATATTTTGTTCTACTCTAAATTTTGACGCTGAAATACCTCTACAAATTGTGAAATTACTTTTAAAACAAGATCATTGCACATAGTGAACATTACTTCTTTGATATTTGACAAGGTTCAAATTTGGAAGAAAATTCTGTAGTATGTGACAGTCAATACAATTACGCTTACTTTTCATGATTACCCGAATTGCAAGAAAACAGCTCTACCTAAGTGGTGAAAAATTTGAAAAACAAAATTACCCTAACTTTTGGAGATTTTCTAGACATGTGAAAATCAATTTTCACCAACTTTGTAGGAAATTAATTCAAAGAAATGTGAAACACTTTTGACTAGTGTGACAATAACTGAAGTCACCCGATTTACCTAGTGGAATTTTTCCTTAAGGGAGAAATGTAGCTGTCAATAACCCAGTAAGTCCCAATTTAAGTTCTTTCAAAAATATTATTTAAGTAGCATCAAATAAACAATCATTATATATTGTAGTAGTAGTAGTAGTAGTAGTAGTAGTAGTAGTAGTAGTAGTAGTAGTAGTTGTAGTTGTAGTTGTAGTTGTAGTTGTAGTTGTAGTTGTAGTTGTAGTTGTAGTTGTAGTTGTAGTTGTTGTACTTTTGAAAATGTCATCTATCTGTTCCAAGATAATGTCCGTCCATTAAGAGGACGCCGTGACATCTATCACAAGCATATGTAAGTCAAGAAAGGCAATACTTAATAAAGCAATTGATTTTATAGGATAAACACATTTTATTTAATTTTTTTATTTTTAAGGAAGGAAAGGATGGATTTAATGTGCCAAGCTAAGTTTTATTGCAAGTAGAATGAGTATGGTTTGATCTTCCCATTAATGAATGCAATGAATTACATCTTTGTAGGTCTCTTTGAGCAACAATATGTTCCATACCGTCCTGACTCAAAGACCTGGCTAATACCCAAAAGCCACTCAAATATTTTAATTCAAAAGAAGAAGAAGAAGAAGAGCATGGATTTTAAAATCAACAATAGTCTTCTCAATCACTATTATATAGAATAAACTTCATAAATTGTTCATTACTAGATTATTTTAAATATGCATGACCAGGGAAAAAGGAAACACATGATCAGGGTAAATTCCAAATATTTCAGTAATTTCCCTGCATCCAATTTAGAGAACTCAAAAATTCTGAGAAAAATAAAATACAAAATACACATAATTACAGGTTAGCAATGCAAGTGCCTTAAAAGTTCAATTCTCATCTATTGATATTCAGAAAATAAAATATTAAAATTTTAATACACAAAATGAACATAATGATAAATGCCAACTAATGCAAGTTTGTATATTGTAACATTAAATTTAAATGACAATAACGTTAATACTTTGAAAAAATGGCAGACTTAATATTCAACAATATTTGCTGAATACTCCTATCTTTCATATGTAACCGTATAATCTTTGATTAATTAATGGCTTGGTTATGAAAATAATTAATTACTGTCCACTGAATAGCACACAGGGACGTAATGAGTTAAGTTCCATAACTGAGCCACAGTTTTCTTAAATAAATTTCCTAATTATTATATTCAGATATATCCCAGTTTACTGGGTGTGGACCCTCTGTGAAAATGAATCTGAAGCCACACCCGAAGGTAAAAAGTGCTAACATTGAGTGGCAAAAATTGTAATTGCAATTATGCATTTCGATTGCAATGCTCAATCAAAATGTGTGCCTCCGCAAGGACCAGTTTCTCTATTGCAAGAACAATTTCTCACTATAAAATACCTTTAAATTTCACAAGAAAAATATCTAAAAAATATTAGGTTTTTATCTTACTAAAGATGGTATTGTAATTTTTAAGAGACTTTTACTAAGTGAAATATCTGAAACACACATTAATTTAGCAAATAAGAAAAAGTCAGTCAAGCTCTATTCTTTCAATGAAGCACAGAAAGGCAAAACATATATTTATTTTACCTTTCTGATCTTATATCTGATATGACACCAACCTGGACTACTAAAATGAACAACAACACTTGCAGTCTGTGCATCTGTCTCTCTGGTGAGAGAACCTCCTTGTGGAACGGACCACTGCGCCATTTCCTTATCTCCATCCTCAAGGACTTTCCTTCGAGGCTCTGGCTCAGTGAGATTTTTGCTGTAGTGAGACAAAGCAAATTGTGCTACTTGTGTAGGATAATAGTAACCCTGACTTTCCCATTGTGTAGAAACAGGAACACCTGGGGGGGAAAAATAGGAGAACTGTTAAACATGCTATCTTCCTTCAATTCTCGAGACAGAATGTGTTATTTGTATAACAAGGGAACTAGGTAGAACTTGGTTCATGGAAAAAAGGTTAGGTCCCAGTGTGATTGCACAAGGGACTTAATTCTCATGAGAGAATAAAGCTTTGTCAAACCATGTGGTTTCAAAAAGATGTCATTTCGATTTGGTTTTAAAAATGCTTCCACAGTTATGAAGAGAATATAAAATGGCTAATGGACATCACTACCGATAATCTCCATAGAGTACGTGTTTGATTGGTTGATGATAATGCTAGAAGGCACAAGACATCAAATTTTCATATGAACTCTTTTACATAGATTCTAAGAATGCTGAATCAGATCCCTCAGACATTTGAAAAAAAGGGCAATTTATAGTATCAACATTGTTGCCTGAGAAAAAAATACACTTATCTGAAGAATAATAAGACAACTTCTGCCACAGGAGGAATCGTAGGAAAGTGAGAAGCATTTAAAAGGAGACTAAACTTCCAAATTTCAATTATATATACAAATCTTAAGTCAATTGGGATGTGTGTTGAGAGGAGGATTATAAGTAATTATACTGACAATTACACAATGTAAATCTCCAAATAAGTAAGCACATTTTTAACTAAGAACTCAATTTATATACCATTTTGAATATAGTATGATATTCACGTGTTACATGAACTTGCTATTCTCATGCTGAGTGAATCATTACTTTTTGTTAAGAAAATGTTTGAGTAAAAAACAACATATTCTTACCTTCAGTTGCACTCACACATTTCACTCTATCTCTTACTTCTACATTATAATTCTCAAAGTACATAAATACACCCCGTGAATCATACTTTCCCTTAGGGTAGTAAACTTTTGAATAACTGTGAGACCATTCAAAACGTTCAAATCCATCATATGTGGCAAGTTTTCCATAAACCTGAAAGAAATCATTAAAACACATTTGTATATGTATGTAAGTATATCTGCAGGCAACCAGGACGGCTATGATCACTAAGCCAGGCATAAAGAGGCAATCTCAGCCCAAGGGGTTGCAAGTTTCACTCCCTTTTAGGTTCGGTTGATTACCCTGGGGTTGTGGTGAGATTTCCCCCCTAACATGCATCATCTTTCAAACTGAATCCTTTCTACCATGGCCTGCCAGGGTGGCACACGAATTTGCATAGGAGGCAAGTACATGTTCCACCTAGGTGATGTGATTTTCTGATCCGGTGTGAGTACACGCTAGGACAGACTCAATCACCATGTATCTCCCACTAACCCCATCCTTTCCCCACCAGATTAATACTTTTACCCCATAACCGGATAGCGTAGCCAAGATGGCCCTCCTTTGGTAGGTATCTGGGCAGCTTTCATCAGCCAGAAAATAGATGTGGGGACAGACCTAAGGACTGCTACCGACAGCCAAGGAGGGGGACAGTCCTGATCTGACATGAGGGAGTTGGATTTTTGGAGGGTGAAGAAAACTCAGTGTGACAAGTATAAAACCCTGGCTAAATGCCTCGCCAAATTAAATTGTCTAGTGATTCCAGCTCTAATCAGATTCCACATTGGTAAAGCCAGGGAATGACACAAATGATGTATAAATGTGAATGACTCAGTTGTTGCTTTGTACCTGACAGTGAAAAGGGAGTCAAAAAATAATTGATAATGCTGGTCGCCCACGAGCTATTTTCAGTTACAGAAAGGGCAGTAATAAAGTAGATTTTTAACTTTCATCAGGCTTTCTTTTAATGTTCCTCTAGCATTAATCTAACATTGCTTTACTTCTATAATACAAGAAAAATCAATATAATCCAAGTACAATTCCACATATTTGTAAAGGAGTAGGCAAGACATAAAATTCAAAATACATTAAATATGTATATTACATCACTTTTGAATTATGTATTATGTCAGAAAATTTATAATAAAATATTTCACACAGTTTTGAACTATAATTTGAAATGTTCATAGAGCAAACATTTTTGAAGAACAGCACACTCCGGAGAATATCACATCTGTAATATTTACAAGCTGGAACTCTTGAGCTTGTAGTAATGTAACAGTGCATGCAGTATCAAAGATAACTTTTAGGAAGTATTTTTCACTTCTATTCATTGTTTTTAGCACACTGCATTCTAACACTCAATAGAAATGCATTAATGTTCCACATTATCAAGAAGGTGATGTTCTTTGAATATAAACAAGACTGCAATTTTCCTTTTCCCTCTTTTTGTTTTTGTGAAAAGGTTAACAGCAACAGAGCAGATTCATTTTCTAAATTTTCAACAACTCATTTCTGAAATTTAATTCATTATTTTGAAGTTACTGCTGGAGAACACAAATAATAACGAGTTTGCGAGCACTATGTATATTTATTTCTGTACATTCTCCCTCTTCTACTGGTTATTTTCATGCCTTGAAGCTTATTGAATTATTTTAACCTCAAATTGTTTCACCTATCCATTTCAGTCAAACATCTAAACATTAAGGAACTGAAAGTTAGGTATTAATTATGTAAAGGTGCGACGTTCTAAACAAGAGCAGACTTTTCATATAATCTACATTCTAACTTTCTTAGCCCCTTATTGAAAATTGTCTCAAAACTTTGTTTGAGAGTAAATAATAATTTCTTCAAACAATATGTTAGAGAGGCAAACATAAAAGACAACAAACTTACTTCAAAATATTTGTGTAGGAAAGAAAATGGCATGTAGACTTCTCCTCCTTCTTTACGGCAGCTCACAGTGAACTCTCCATTAATATTACAGTCAATTTCCTCATATCCTTGCACATCACCCCCGCCATGTTCTGCTCCTTCTCCTCCAGAATATGTGTCCTGTATGAGAATAAAACAAATATTCTATAATATATAAAAATACTATGGCAACAGGATTTCCATGACGTGTGTGTTCTGGGTTCACAGTAGAATTTTCTTCTTAAAAATTACTTAGAAACTGTTTCTAACATAATCTGATAATCTGGATTCACTTCAAGAAAATTGCAATATCCCTTAATCCTAGTAATGCAGCGAACTTTCACAAATGATCAGCTCTAAAGTAGAATACGATTATATACATATGATTAACATTAAAACTGTTTAGTAAATTAATTACTTCTTGATTGAATACAATTAAAACTTATTTATAATTTTATCATATAAGCACGGAGATATTGAGTCACTGTCTTTAAGTATGTATTCTGTATTATGACTACCTTTCACATTCTAATAAGAAGGGTATTTTTGAAAACTGTGTGGCAGTGTTTGAATTGTTAGGAATAAATGTTTTACTCTAATTCACTCCCCATATTACTTATGATTTTTAAAATGCATATTAACAAAGTTCTTTTAATTGATGGTGGCTATGATAAAGTGAGAAAACAAATGAAGTACCAATATATTTCAAATAATCCATGATATTAATAAAAAAAAGAGCTAGAATCTTACCCCTTTGAAACTCAATGAAGATTTAAATTTTGAAGATCTTTACCCCAAATGATTCACAAACAAATGGAATGAAAACAAACTAGGGTTATTTGTACTTTCTCACTGTAAGCAAGTAAGCACATACAATTTGAAATATTGAAACAACTTCAAATTTCTTTAAGTGAATGATACAAAAGTTAATTACAAAATTTGTGGGGGCCTATTGATTCAAGAACATCATAAGATACTGGGGAAATAAATGTCTTTGAAAACAGACCACTGTGCACAATATTACAAAATGTTGAGTGACAAATTGTCTTGTAACACACCTGCATGTTTGGTGACTTCTTTGAGTCCCAATCCGAGTTCATGCCACCTCGAGCATGAACCACTTCGCCACAACGAGTCCATAGTGACAACATAACAAGCATTACAACGAAACATGTCAACAACAAGGCAATCTTCAAATTCACTCGTATCATCCTGAAGGTGAACTTCAAGGGAATGAGGAATACAAGTAGAAAGCATATTATAAAGTCCTAATGAGCACACTGAAAATGCAAACAACCTGCTTTAGAAGAAACTTAAAAGTAGCAACAATGTGTCTGAACTTCTCATAGTATAAATAAACAATTAAGCATAATGTTCTCAGACGAAAAAACTACATAAATGACAGAATAATAGGTATATCAAAGCTGATTTGTGCCACATTACAATTTTGGTGACCAGTGCATATGAAACTTATTTACCTGTTTACAACATTAATTGGTCAACAAGGCTACATGCCTATCATTCAAGAATGACAATAATCACCGCATTCAGATCACGACAGCTTCACAACAATAATACTACATATAGTGTCTGCATGGTTCTAATGACACACTTTACATGATTGCATAAATCAATCTACAGCCGGTGACACGAAACTAGAAAGTAACTCTTGACAATCAACTCGACACGCAGCAAGTGTCCATCGTAAAAAAACATTTCTTGTGGATAATCACGCAGTTGCTCACACAAAAAACTAACAGAATCGAACATCAAGACAGTATAATTAGGTATGAATGATTGTTATGGTTTTGAATGATGTTAATGAACATCTGCGTGTTTGCCGAGTTGGAAGCAAAGCATAACATTCCATGTTAATTGTCGATCGGCATGAACTATCGATTAATGTCGATTTTCACCCAGTCTACGTCACGGGAGGAAGATTCGAAATCTTGATATAGTTGCCAAAGTTACAAATTTATAAGTTACAAAATAATTGGAAACATTTCCTATTTTCACGTTACAGTGCATATTTATGGATTACTTTGCTCAAACTATTGTGAGACAAACCTGATTTCTATCGATACTACCCGTGCCGAATGTCTCGTTTCTCGTAAATCTAGTAATCTTAACGTTTGCCAAATGATATTGATAGAAGGGAGTATCCAAACAATACTTCAGAGCACGTAATATGAATGAAAAATCACACAAATTCCCAGATTATATTTCTACTAGAAAATAATGAAAAATAATCGGGAGGCACTGCAATACCCAGGCCTCTGCGACGCGCAAACTGCCAGAATGAATTTTTATTAAAACGAAAAGAAAAATTGAGGGGTCACCCACAATTTGTAAGATCTTTCTATACCTAGGAGTATTATATACCTTGGAGAAAATTGCAAGACTAAATTGCTTCTTAACTAGAGACCGGATTTCAATGCAGATGCATATCCTCTTGTTGTCAAAAACTGTTATCTAGGAATGTGCGAGAAACACATATTTATCAATTGTTTAAACATGATTTTGTGATGCATATTTGTCCTATTAACAATAATCAATAAAGTAACACACGTAACATGAACTCCCGCATATTACAGAAAGGGCTTATACCCTGTTTCGATCACAAAACGAGAAAAGGAAACATTCCTTTTCATGGTATGAAGGTGATTGCAAAGGGGTTGTGCTAATTGTGTCCAAACTGGCTCTGAGGCAAATTGTTAAATGTATTCAACGACAGACATCCCATGGTGGAAACTAATTCTCCTAAATAATAACACTATGACTTCTCATCGAAATATCAGCGATAAAGTAAGATTAAAGTGTCGCATGAATCTAGATATCGTCTAAAAATATGAAAATAATGTTGTGATAAGTTGTATATGGTTTATACCAAATAGTATAGAGACTATATATATATATATATATATATATATATATATATATATATATATATATATATATATATATATAATGCAGTATAGACTATATAGTATAGTAGTATAGTGTAGACCAGGGAATCCAACTTGCAAGGCTTCAAGGGCCATGGTTGTGCATAACTAAAACCTTTAATATGGTTGCGAGCTATATTTTTATTACTCGAGTGATCCACACCTGACTCTCCCATATTTTGGATCTCGGTGCTTTTCTCGGCTGCTCTGAAATGGGGAGGGAGAGATAGGAAGCATGTGTGATATCAGGCCGTCCCATGCGTAACGCAGTGAAACATGAAGGGATGACATTCAATTTCTGAATGAAAAAAAACAACAACATATCATTAATTCTTAACTTAACCTATTTTTACGTAAAAGGAACGTTGACTCCAGCAGGCGTGCGAAACGCACAAGTTGTTTATGATATTCCACATCGGCGGGTGCGGGGAGAGGAGGTCTCTGGCAACGTCACGTTAAAATGGCGTACCGACGGTTGGCATGAACTTCACGCCCCAATAAGTGCCACGAGAAATGCTGGTACGTACCGTCCCGAGTCGAAACTGAGAATCTGAATGGCCGTAGATATTTAGCGTTGGCCAAGGACTAGAAAGTCCTTATATCGAGAAAACTTGCGCGAGCAATACAATATTCTCGCCCGGCATGGATGCAATTACTTTTAACTAACAACCTTTCGCGGGCTATAGCTCGAGCCGTCAGTTGGACAACCCTGGTATAGACTATATAGTATAGAAACTATATGTATGTATGAATGTATGTATGTACTTGGCGCGACAGCCCGTGAACGGGCTCAGGCCTACCGGAGCGTTCCTGCCTCGCGGCCATGGGTTAAGGGGGTACGTTTGATTGGAACGCAGACATCCCCAGGCCGTATTCCGGTCTTATCAACCTGAGAAGTGAATTTTCTCATTGTCACAACATATACTGGGACATTGCAAGGAAATCGCACGCTATAGTCTTAGCTCCACCAGGAATCGAACCCGGGGCCGCGTATGGGAAAGCGAGCATGCTGACCAAATAGAAACTATATAATCTATGAAATATTTGGCTACAAATTATAGACTAACAAAAACTAGCGAGAGATGCCACTTTCTCACGTGGGAAATATCGTAAGTCCGGGGCTGTTTCGCTCAGAGCAGAATTTCTAAGTCGCGAATGCCTCATCAAAGAAAAGCATCTACTTGCCCGAACGACTCGTTAAAAAAAATAAAAAAATTCAAATACCTACAAACCCAAGAGAAATTCTTCGAAGTGCTCGCAGAACTGTCTCGTTCGAGAGAAATTCTTCTAGTGATTCGGGAAACTGGTTCGTCCGAGAGAAATTTCCAAGTGATCAGACCGAGAGATGTGACTCAGGGTGTCTCGTGACTGATGTCACTGCAGTGCTTCTGACCGGGAGGTCCTAGGTTCGAGTCCCCCCGTTGGCTGGATTTTCGGCACTAGCTCGTCAGCCAAGTCGGATTCAGTCGCTGTCCGGAGGAGTGTCTCCGATCAACACCAGGTGGATGCCGGAGCAGTACCCTAAGAATCGGGCCACGGATACGCGCGCGTTCTTTCCTTCCTCTTCATTGTTCTCTTACCCTTTACACTAACGTATACTAACATGCACTACACCACTATACATGCCGGGAGACTGGTCGAGAGCTTAGAGCTTGTCCGGACCGGGGTGGTGCCTCGCTGGTGGGAGATACCTAATTGGGGAAAATCCCGCTAGACTCGGTAGGTCGGCACCGAATCTCATGTAGCGAGGGAAGTTCACTGTCACCTTTCGAGAGAGAAAAATGTACTACACATCCGGGACTAATGACCTTAGCATTTGACGCGCCCGGATTCACGAATCAATCAAATATCCATCCCCCGGAATCACGAAGGTTCGGATTCCCATCTTTCTACGTGACTTCCTACTCCTGATTGCTCAAAAAATCTGAATGTGAGCTGTTTTTTTCATCAATCGATACGCTAGAATTGTTTTTTCGAAGTCTCCGTTGCATTTTTGACTGGGCGACCTAACGTTTCCTGCGAACAATGGATGCGATATATTTCACTAAATATTACTTTTTATTGTCAAGTAGCCCCAAATTACTAAGGGTCTCTGTAATGTAGATTTTTTGGGTTCTTAAGATCAATATAAATAAAAGGGATTAAATACTAATGTTTTCAATATTTATTGTGGGTATATGTATGTTTCGCAATTTCGTTACTGTGACAGTAGCGTGTAGTAGATACTGACAACTAAAAAAATTGACTAAACATAAAGCCTTTTCAATAACAAAATTAAGTTGAACTTGTAATTTATTTTTTATTATTATTATTATTATTATTATTATTATTATTATTATTATTATTATTATTATTATTATTATTATTATTTATTTTTTGCTTGCGAATCGGCCGACTAGGACCACGCATGCATGCATCCTGCATTTACCGTGGCTCAGTATCATTATCGCGGTGGCAGGTGCATGTAACTTTTTTTTAAATTGGGGACCAGCATTTCGCTGAGTCCAATTTTTATTCCGCGGGGTTGTTAGCCCTTGGGGTAAGGAAGATGAAATGATGATGATAACGAGGGGTGAAAGGACTACACACTCATACAGACATACACAAATACACCCATGCCCGAGGCGGGACTCGAACCCACGATCTTCTACTCCAAAACCACTACGGCACTCTACTGCCTTAGCGATGTCGGCCATATGATTGGCTTATTATTATTATTATTATTATTATTATTATTATTATTATTATTATTATTATTATTATTACTATTTAATTGCACCTCACATCTCTATGGTGACTGCATAAATTGCACATATTAATATAATCACAGTACAAATTAGTAACCTTCTGCATAAGCTTCCATAGGTTTTCAGGAAGATCTAATTCCTTGAGACTTTGATGCATAGTCTTCAGGATGGCTCCAGGACTTCATATTAAAATAGGAACGATTCTCACTTTGATAACATTCCATTGCTGGAGGATGGACCCTGACAGATCTACATATTTAGTCTTCTCTTCTGTGTTTTTCAATTGAAGATTACTGAAGAATAGAAGTGCTCGGGATTGAGACATCGATAATGTGGACTTGCGTGTTTTCTTTATTGAATATAACAATATCAGGTCGATTACAATTGGGAGTTATATATGTGAGAATAGTTCTCTCTTTCAGTTCAGCCAATAAGAGCGATTCTCCAAAACAGCCTCCGGATTCTTCACATAGTGCAAAACTCGTGCTTCAAATGTTAACATTAACTTTTGTGCCGCTTCTCGGTAGATTATTTTCGTCATTGCATCATGCCCGTTCCTGAACTATGATCCGTAGCAATATATATATATATATATATATATATATATATATATATATATATATATATATATATATATATTGTGCTGTATTAATTCAATTTGTCCACAACCGTTTCGACAGCGGCGATCGTTCACACTTTGGTCTTTCAGTACACGTTTTCTATAGTTGCTTATTGGAATTATTTTGATCTTGTAAGCCAACAATGAAGCCTTCAGCTTCAGGGAAGAACTTGCCACAACGCATCAATTTTTTGTTAGTTACTGAGTGCCGCAAGGCTTACATCTAACTAGCATAATTTTAAGGATGTCCACTCATCCACTGCACAAACTAAAACGTGTAGCTTGGCAGCGGTAGATTTCGTGTGGAAGAATTTTCTGAGGGTCTCAACCTACTTTCAGATCATGGTTTAATGTCAGTGAAGGCTCTACCACGAAAGCAACGTGGGAGGGTCACACGTTTAACTGAGGCTCTAGGGTGATGTTTCTATACTTTTGAGAGTACCCTTAACCTTTGATGAATATTCTACATGTCTGTGTTTCTCCATGTCCCAATTCCCTATGGGTAGCATACGATGGGCACAGGATAAGTGTTAATTCCTTTGGAAGAGTTCCCCCACAAAGCCTAGTTTTTAAAATTCTTCTT